TTGTCCTTTTCTCCAAAGATAAGAGGTAAGGTAATGTTTTAATGTTAGTAATTTTTGATATTAAAAATTCGAAACATTCAGTGGTTGCAGCTTCTTGAGTGGGAATATTTGCCGATAGAAAACCACATTTCTTCAGGATTTGGGCTCTTGATAAGACAAAAGTCTATCTGAATGGGCCACTAAGTAAATGTTAGTCACCACCCTGGGTACAACTACAGTCTCGTTGGGGCGTAAGTGTCTGGCTCAAAGGTGCCACAACAGTAAATGTTTGAGGGGAAGAGAGCGTTGGTAATTTATTCTTCTCTCACACATTCCCAGCTATCTGGACATAGGCCCGGTTGACCTTTAGGCTCACACTGTCCAAATATTCGTAGCTTAAAGGAAATGGTTGTTATTATTTTATATTTCTATTGTAAACGAATCTCATAAAATGACCAAAAGAGACAATGTTTTAGTCCATTCCTCTCAGCCATGAGCCCACTGGTTCCTACTGAAGACGTGAAGCTTTAAAAATATAGTTTCACTTTAAAAAAAAGGCTCAATCATTTCCTAAAACTTCTGGGAACTGCAGTTTTTAGCTGATGTTACTTAAACAGGAGAAAATAGTTCATTTGTAGGGGGCTAACTACAGTGCTGGAGTAATACACATTTGGTGCTCTAGTGCAGTTTTTCTCAACATCCGGTACCGGTCCATACATTGTTGGCTTTTTAAACTTACTTTATCTTTTTATTTCTTATTTTAATGTGTCACCTTGACCTGAATGCCTGTTTCCAAACGTCCCCCCTTCCACTCAAAAGTGTGTTTTTCTTATTGGCACATCACCTGGCTTGTGCAGAATGATGTATGTTCATAGTTTGTTTTCACATTTGTCTGCTGAAGTGGAAAGTTTCTCCGTGCTCACCTTAAATCTCTGCAAGTGTAATGTGGAAACTTGAAGCCTCCAGTGCAAATACACATAGTATGAACAATTTCACTTTAGTAGGAGACCAACCTACTGTATCCAACATATTTGCATATTCAGAGAACAATTTGGAAAACTCATGTTAGACAGAAAATGTTATTTGTCTTTTAAAATAATGTCTGGAAATGATCTTTGTCTGACCCACTCGTCTGTGAGACCGCTCTTTGCGAGCTAGCTTGATGTTTTTAATAGTTTTCCGGCCACAGTGGAGGTCTATAGTGCAGATGAATAAGTTATATCAGGCTTTATCGTTAGTTTTGATCTTTTAATGGGATTTGTTGACTGTAAGATGAATCTACAATATCACCAGACTCATCCTTTAAATGCCTCGCTCAAATGTCTCCTAACAGTAGTTGTTTGGGGAAGAGCGTTGGTAGTTTATTCTTCCACATGTTCCCAGCTGTTCTGTGAATTAAAAAAAATGTAACCAGCACTAGTCTGGTTACAAAGGTCATTTATCTGCGCTGTAGGCTCCCACTGTCCGAATACTCTTTGGATAAAAGGAGCTGAATGCTCCCTCACCTCCCTGCAGCTGGATGAGAGGAGGTTTCCGTCCTCTGGGTGTCAGAACAGCTGGACACCAGACCTCCACAGCTGGGGAGACCTGCTGGAAAGGCTGACAGCTCTCCGTGGCGTGAAGCAGTGCTCTCTGGGGAGGCTTCACTCAAATCTCCACAAAAAATGGAGGAAAAAAAAAAAAAAATTGGACACAGTCGGGTCTGCCCATTCTGGGAAAGCAGGCTGGAGACAAACTAAACAAGCATTAGTTCTGGAGAATGAAGTGTAGATCTGCGGCCTGGTGAAGCTGGTGCATGGTACAAAACGTTGTCTAACACCTCAGCCACCACCACCTTCCTTCCTCCCTCCCTCCCTCCTCCTCCTCTCCCTGTCAGTGTGAGTGTGGTGGAGGATATTGTGGTATGAAAGTGTGCTTATAACACTGGCCTATTCATGCCGTCTGTCCATTCATCATCAGCATTCAGAGAATACAGGCAGAACTGTTTGGATTCCCGGCACAAGGCCGCTCCCGAACATGGAACCTGAACCTTTTTTTGTATTCAGTGTGAACACAGGCGGAGTAAATATTAACACTCATGGCTGAAGACTGTGCGGCATAAAGGCTTCAGCAGTAGCCAGTGTTCTTTCCAGGATGAAAGCTTTTCTTTTATAGACTCTAGTTTGAGTTTCTCAGACTCACTATGGTCTGCCATGTCTTTTGCACGTTATTTTATTCTTTCAGTGTTGATCTTGCACGCACTGCCCAACCATAGAGAGTGGTTCAAAGTAAGTAGGTACATTTACTCAAATATTGTACTTAAGCACTACTTTATGCTACTTTATCTGCATTTTAAAGGCAAATATTGTACTTTTTACTCCAGAATTATAAGTCAAAATGTCCAAATTAAGACAAAACAGAGGATGACTTTATGAAACACAGTTATTTTTTATGGATTAAAGGTCCAGTGTGTAACATTTAGGAGGATCTAAGGATATATAATATTCATAAGTATGTTTTCATTAATGCATAATCACCTGAAAATAAGAATTGTTTTGTTTTTGTTACTCACACACACACTCACACACTCCACTGTTCTGACCTGTCTGCACCTGTTGCGCTATAAGTCATGTAAATGGTGACTTTGCTTGTATTAACTATTAACACTTTCTTTAAACTATAGCGTCAACATGTTGAATGTTGAATGAATCAAAAGTCGTCTCTTAATTCAAAATAAATTCAGACTTGGTTTTTTGAATTGGAAGTAAGTGAAATGATCTCATCTGACAGACATTTTTTTATTTGTTTGAAGAAAATGAGACTTCAGTCAACACTGGACTCAGTAACCTGTTAACATGAATAGGTTCTGTAGTTTTGGTCACTGGCAGTCTGAGCGGCATTAATGGGGCTTGGCCCTCACATGCGTTTGTTCACATGGTGTTTTTATGGAGGGAAACGTCTCCAGCGGCGGCCCTTCATTTCTCCACAGGCGAGCCGACCGCAGACTTCCTGGAAAAGGCCCGGTGGCAGGAGCCGGACCAGGCAGGCCAGCACGCATTAGATGACCTTTAAACTCATGTATAAAACTGGCATATAGATATATATAAAGTAGTATGTATAAAGTATCTTTTGAAGCCTCTGTAGCAAAAATGCACGGTGCTAAAATCTGCTTTAAAGTGAGGGTAGGTTGTGTATTTCAGAGGCTCTTTTTGTTATATTGAATGAAATTCTCTTTACATCCTGACAGCAATCAAAAAATTAGAAGGGGACTCTAAGTATTGTGGAGAATACATCATTGAAATGTACTTTAATGTTTCTATTTCAGCTATAAAAATGAGAGTATCATTCAGGCTTTAATTAAGTTTCTAATATAACATCCTCAGAAATGTGTGAAATTAGTTTTGTAAATCAAAACTAGTGAGACATTCTGAGTTAAATAGAAATTTCAAAATGGCCACTGTGTGAATAACGTGAAAATCAATGCAGTTTCCTTTGACCCTGCAGCCACTGTCAGTAAAGGTCAGTTTAACTGCAAATTTCCTGCTTTACCGTCTTCATCACAACACAGTTCACACACACACATTTCGTATGATGTGAGGAAAACACACTGACGCTCTCTTCACTATGTCAGAAGGTGTTCTGTGTGTTTAACATGTCCACTAGTTGTGGAGGTGAAATATGATCCAGCTATCATTGTTGAAAAAGCGATGTGTTTTCAGGAACATTAGTTTGAGGCAGACTAAACACACACATTGGCCTGCTGTATACACGCACAGACGACTATAAGTCATTTGAAGTGGTGGGCACTACTGGCCTGCACGCCTCTCATTTAAACAGCAGCAGAAATAAACACGCTGTAATTATTAAAGGTAGAATGGGACTGGGTAATATATCCACAGATGTGTATCAAGATTGGCACAGGGAGAAATTCATGACTTTACCAGCGTGCATTCACGGATGACTGAGAGAACTTGAATGAAGCCTCTTTATGTTTAAAAATAATAATAGTTTCCATCTCAGTTTGGAGTTAAACACAAAGTCTCAGCTGATGTTTAATATGAGAGCTTTGAGGTTTATTTGTAGGGACCCAACAGGTGTACAAAAACATCTATAAACCCTCTTTGAAGACATAAACTCATAGTGGAGTTTAGGTGAGATTTAAAACCAACTTTTTGGTGAAAACAAATCAAATTATTTTTTTCAGGATCCAAACTGCATTTTCAGGCTGTACTCGTCAAGAATCTTTCCTCCGAATATGAAAGACTGAAAGCAGCTCTCCCCCTGCTGGACAAACAAACTCTGGCTCTTACTGGATTGTTAAGTCTATCAGCCAATAGCCCGAGAAGCAGTGACGAAGAAGGAAAAAAAACCCACCACAAACATTCAGTGGAAAGCTTCTATGATAAACCACAAACAAGGATGTGTGTATAAATACATAAAGTCACTTACACATTACTTGCCTGTGGGATACCAGCACTGAAGGACATTTGTACAGTTTTTTTTGTGGTTCCTCAAACAACAGATAAACACAAAGAAGTGGAAGAGAGAGACTCTTTTCATTATTAAACAAGCAAAACATAACAGTCTGATTCTGTTAACAGACCAAGTGTACAACGGCTGCTCATGAATTACTGCTTAGCTCTTGAAAAACTAATTTGTGGTGAAGAGGAAATGCTCAGCCTTTTAGAGGACTCTGGACTCTTTTATGGCCTTTGTGAAAGTGGGAGAAACTTGTATTTAAATTATTTTGTGTGATTGTGTGTATTAACACTTCTATTTTCTTTATTCCTTCAGGAAGCTAAAATGTAAATATAAATAGATGTGATGTTTGAGTGGGTCTTTGTGAGCTAACTTCAGGTTTATAATGAATAGTTGAAAGAAATTAATGACTGAAAAAAGAAATGAGCCCTGGAGAGCAAAACGATTTTCCTTTTCTTCACACAAGTAAATTCCGGTAATGAAGACAAATGAGGCAAAGTGGTTGAAATTAAACATCGAAACAAAGCAAATAATAGTTAAAAGAAAGAATCAAAATTCAGAGATGAGTCCTCAGTCCATATGTATTGAAGTTCTTACAGGTAGAATATACAGTACATGTATACTGGTATACAGACAGGCAATATAAAATGGGCTAAAATTACCTAAGGATACAAAGAACAGCATATACAAAAGCTTATTTAATGATTCAAGTACCACTAACTTTTATACTTCACTTCTCTGGAGAATTCAAAAGCATCTGTACAAAATGTACAAGAATTGTATCCCATGTTTCATTGGCTAAATGCTTCCTCTGTGCTTCATATCATACCTTACTACATACTGGTAATGCAAAGAGAAGTGAAGATTTTACAGTTTTTTAAGGCAAAAATCACAGATCCTACAGTACAGTACATGACCTCTAATATTAAAATTTGCAGATTTCATTTCAGTGAAGTCGCTTGATGTAACTAAAAAGGTTTCTTTAACAACTCAACACATGAAATGAAAATGTACGCCATTTCTTTAACGCTTTATTTTACAGGTCCGTAATTTAAAAAATAATTTGCTATTTATGGTCGGCATTGTTTTTTAGCAATAGCCATTCAATGTATTAAGAATCAGTAATTATCTCTATATATAGTAGTTTGCATTGTTAGTGGCAGGGTCCGCCACTCACACACCATTTTTTTAACAGCCTACCGACGCACAATGGATTCACAGGTAACGGTGCATACGTATAATCCAACGTTACTGTTTGGGAATTTTATAATAATTGAAGTCGAAAGAATCTGTAAAACAAGACAATGGTAATTCTCTTTAGTTTTTTTTAAATCAGTGGATAAATATGTCAGTGAGTAATGGAAGTAGGAGCAGCCACAGCAAGCTGCAGTTCAGTTTCACAGTTGTTTCCAGGAAACTTCCCATGTAATTGCTATTGTTATTACAAACCTGTAAAATACAGTGTTACTGTTACTGGCATTTCTAGATTTAACAGGAATAAAATGGCCTCTATTCAATACCAGTCCAAACTAATGTAGAACTTTCTAAGCCTACATCTCAACTTTTTAATCTCGTATCAGCATGAGACTAAATCTGAAAATTAATCATAGTCTCACCACGACTGAAGCTATTTTAATTCCATAAAATTACAACACTGACGGGCTGATTGCCTCACTGACACGTACTGCAGGTACTGATGTGGTGACAACGTGGAAAATTTAAATCATTCAGAGGAACGTGTGGAAAAATAACTAGCATTTAAAAATCATAAACTCGTATCTATTTAACATTACAGGCGCATCAATAACATGTTCACTTCTATAATCACTGTACATTGTTTAACATGTCAAAGTCTTACCATCAAAACTGGTAAACATCAGTGGCGATTTAAGACAAACGGATTTGTGCAAGGAAGTAAAAGCATATTGCGAGTTCACTAAAGCAACGTTTATGCTAAAAAAGAAAATCCTATTGAAAAAAGGAAGCACTTAAAAATTGAAATCGAGTATTGTCATGCACTTAACTGTTCATCCACTCTGATTTATTTATTTATTATATTTTTTTAAAAAAAGAAGAAATTGTCTTTGGATTTCTTCTGTCAGAAAGTGTGACATAAAAGATTAAACTTGGCCAAAATAAGAAAAGACAGCCTGGAAGGCAGCTCTACATTCAGACCAGCATCAATTATCATTTGATTTTTTGTTTGTAAATCATTTAAAAGACTTTAAAACTGTACCATTCAGTTATTGTAATAGATCCTACTGGAAAGTACTGTTTAAAAAAAAAAGTGAGGTTTGCTGTTCACAGAAGTTCCCCTTCACTTGAGTAAAATGCCTTTAGTTTTCAACAAAGTCACAAGAATACAAATTGCTGAAAGGGAGCTACGGCCACGTTAGATATGATGACATCCAGTCCAGCTGTGGCAGCACTAACCGGCATTAATGCTCAATGATGCTGAAGGGAAAGTGGACAACGTATTTCCAGACATCGTTTTGTCTCCCCGGGTTGAGCAGACAGTGTCTCTGAGTGCTGAGTGGACGGCGTTGCATGTTGTGTCAAGGCTTTTGCTGATCGTACTGCTGGTAACGGTTCAGCTTGTCTGGGTCGTTGGAAGCCATGTGGGTGAAATCCTGGAAAATGTCCTGGTAGGTTTCATCTCCTGCAAGAGGAGTAAGGACACGCGACATCAACAACAGCAAAAAAATAAATGATAAAGTCAGGCAGAGAAATGGTTCCTAACATCTGTTACACACAATCATTTTTGGCTTTTTTCTTATAAATCTCTAAACACTTTTATCTTTTCAGGCCTGCAAAAAAACATTCTAATTCAACAATCTAATGTCATGACAAGTAGAAAATTTCTTCCTTATGAATGAGCCATAAAAAAGTAGGAAACCACTGAGATAGAGAACAGGGCTACATGATTTAACCCATAAAGTGTATCTCCTGCTGTGGTGCAGGAGCATTATCATTGAATAACACATTACAAGTGTAATTTTTCTTACTAAAATTTTAACTTCTGACCTAAAAACAAGAACAAAGTGCTGTTGGCATTTGTCAGGCAGGGCAGAATGTTTAATATGTTCAATATTAATGCACTTTGTGGCACTGGGGCTAAGAAAAGGTAAAATGTGGGTATAATTGAAGGATCTTTAAGAAGAAACTCAACAGAATTCCTCCTTAAAACATTTTATAAGGATTCCGGGTTTTACTGGTCTGAGCTGTTTCCCTCCTCACCAGATGAAACTGCAGCAAATAAGTTCAATAGAAAATTCCTCAAGTCGAAAATCATAAACGCCTCATCATGCAGATGTACAGCAGGGTAAAATATCTGCAGAGCGGACGGGTCATGCACAGTGACAGTATCATCAGAACAAGAGTGAAAAAGGAAAAGTCGGCCATACCTGTCAGAGTGTCAGCGTGGCTCGAAATATGAAACAGAACAACGCAGAGGCAGAAAGGATGGGAAAGAGCAGAAGAAGCAAAAAGGAAAATGTTTGAGAAAAGCGGCCGGAGAGCAACTGGAGATCGACTCGGAAAGAAAAGACAAGCCCACAGAGATTCATTTTTGTTAACAACTGTATTGTGTTTAAAGTGCAGGAGTTTATGTACAAAAATACAGCTGTGTTGGCCTCAGCACCCCAAAGGAAATTAAAAAAAAGAGAACAGAAGAAAGGCACAAACTCTGGGGAGGAGAGTGAGAAAAGAAAAGCAAAATACAGAACCGAGAGAGTGAATTTACAGAGAGAGAAGAGGATGAGAGCAATAAAAAAAGTGTGTTTTAGAAGAGAGGGGGAGCCTCCTCTAACACCAGAGCAGCGGTTCTCAATCTGTTCGAGGTTCAAGTGTCGATTTTCCCTTTTCAGATACATTTTTATAAGACTACAGCAGACAAATATTAATGAATGAAAACTATCAAAAGAATCAACATTATGTTTTAAAAATATATATATAAATATACTTCCCTCCGGATTTCATAAATCAATGTTTTAATGCTCACATAAATCACACAGAAACCCACAAGCTGAGAACCGCCACTCTGCGCTTCTTCTACACTCTCAATCAGGTAGAAACACTTGAGTCGAGGGAGCTGTAATTTCAATAAAAAAAAGGAGGAGGGAGGATTGATGAGGTTAGCTCTCCCTCACATTCATCACCCCTGAATATCCCTCATCAGTCCCATCATTCATCAACTGATTGGAGGCGCTGATGAAGAGGCTGTCAGGTATCAAAGAGGACGGCGTGAGGATCTTTCAGTGACTGGAAGCTCATACTTCAGACTCTACTCTAACCCCTTCTGCTAAAAACAAACCTCCTTCTGTCCCTCTCGTGATGCTAGTATGCCTGCTGTTGACCTTCCAGGCAACGACAGCCAGCAACAGCTTTCTGTACCATTCCCTATCAACAAGCATTGCACACACTAAAGAAAATATAGAAGAAAAAAGAAGAATTCTGTTTCATTCTTTGTCTTTCAGGTCCAAAACATTCCCTACTAAAAAGCAGCATTCAGGCTAATAACAGTCTGGCTACCTAAATCGGCGCATCTAGCCCTTGCTATAAGATGCTTTATTCTTCTAGAACAAACAGATGATGTTTTCTGAGTGTAGCCCTCCCTCCTGTGGTCAACACACAGAAAGTCCCTTTTCCCTACAGTCTAAGAGGGCTTAAAGAAAGCCCTCAGCAACTACTCTACAGGACACAACAACGTCATTTACCTGTGAACACAATCACAACACAATCGGTAATCCCTATTCTAACTTCTTCCCCACACTAGTCAGCCGTTCAAAACCTCACTTATTGTTCTGCCAGCACCGGGGGGGTGGGGTGAAACAGCAGAGCTCTATCGATGTCAATTAGCATAAATGAGCATTTAATCAAAGTGCTTTGGTGCCCTCCGAGGATTTGGGGCTGCGTGGAGGGAAGATGTGGGATGAAACTGGGGTAAGTTTCAATTATTCATTCATTATCAATAAAGTCAGCTTTGCACTCATCTGTAGTCTTATTGAATATCTACCTTTTTCTTTGTAAAGCTCCCATATGATTAAGATAAATATAAGCTAGGACTAGTAGGTGATAAAAATCTATACATGGTTACATGTGGATATTTTTCTAGACTATTGCACTTGTTGCTTGACGATGTACCATCTTCAAATGGTTTGTCTATATTTGAGTAAAAACCCACTAAGATCCGATACAATCAATGCGATGGCACTAAAAGGCCTCCGTCATCTTACAATTCAGGATTTCCCGTGAGTACGGGCAATGGGCAAGCACACTTAAATCGACTAATAACCAAGACACAATATTGTCATAACAGGAAGTAAAAACCACACAATCGAAAACAAAAAGCAAGGATGTGAACACAGAGCCCCTCATGGCACTCACCTCTGTGCCACCAGAGTCACTCTGAACTCTGCTTATTCTGTCAGACTATAAAGAAATGTACGTATGCTCATCATTTACAACATGTACAGTAAGTATACTTATTATCCGGTTCCTAGAGTAATTTTTATAAAAGAAAACTGTTCTCTAAAATACTTTTTTTTTTTCTGACCAGGCATGTCACAACATCAAGATGCATTATGTTTTTGACAACAAACAGTTCAAATAAGTAAACAGGCCTTGAAAATGGTTAAGACTTAAAATGGGAACCATACAATCGCAGGAAAACAGGTACAGTAGTTGCATAACCATTAATAGGAATGTGCATAAATGACTTCTGACTTCAGCTAAATTTAAAATGAAACTTGGCGATTTATAAACACAGCCTACACCTCTCCAGACTGATCAGATGATAAAAAATGTCATTCAAAAGTCATGATTATTGCCAGATAGTGAAAACTGCCGTCACTTTGAGGTCACTGGATACTGGTGGCAGTTACTGGATAGCTAGTTTATTTTTTGCAAAGACACTGTGACTTATAGCAGAGATACCATACTAACTAAAAAAATTAAAATTATTTTAGCCCAAAAAGTAATTTCTCATTAGCTGCTATAAATCACTGAACGCCTCTAAAATAGAGGGAATCAGCAAAAGTGGTGTAATTTGTTAACTATGGAGGAAGACTATGTAGTAAAAAGTGACTATTGTTTCTTTTAATTGTGCTATAATCAATAATATCAATAATTATACATCATTAACAGTCACTTAATTGAAAATGTGGATGTTCCACTTTGGAACAAAACTCTACGGTAATGTCCAGAGTCGATGGCTTTAACCCTGTCACATTGATACAGACTAGCACCTGACGTTACACCACACCAAGGTGCAGCTGGCAGGAGCTGCGAGGTAAAGATGGTGGTTTTACTCATAGTACAGCAGGACACAGGAGCACCACTGACAGAGTTGGGCTTAGTTCACTCAGTCTCACTCAAGTGGATCAAATGTCCCCTAACCTGAAGGTCTTGTAATCAAGCGAGAATGAATTGTCTGGATTATGATGTGTTCGCCTGTTAATTTGCAGTTTTTCAGTCAACTGACCCCAACTCTGAAACCTGGGCTTTACATTTCCTCTGATGAGCCTTGTTGTATAGTATGTTGTCGGTGTGTTTTACTGAGAGTGGACACTATGTTTCATCCAGCTGCAGGCTAATAAACTCCTGCATGCACTTCCTGTATTGCATCTCGGTGGGGCTGTTGGTGTTATATTGACCTGACTGGCTGTAGGGCCCCTCCGCCTCTCGCATCTCCTCGTTCATCTTGGCCAGTCGCAACCTGGGGAGCAGATTAGGAAACAAGGACGTGAAAAATTAGCCATAGATAAGAGATACAGTAGGTTTACAGCACACTCACAGGCCACAGTGTTACATCTAGAGTTCAAACTATGTACGCTGATTAACTAGTGACACCTTGTGGAAAAAGTTGGTACACCTTGTTTAATACAATTTACCCATTTTTTAAGCTGGTAATAAAATCATAAAAGGCCCAAAAAATGTGTGCCTTTTGTAATCAGTTGTATAATGAATGTCACAATGCGTCTAGTTCTTGTTACATCCTGTCAAAAGCTCACTATAAATGATCCCTACAGGTCAAAAATTTTACTATTTCAACTATTACACTGACTTTCTAAAGCAGTGGTGTCCAATTTAACTTTCTTTTTTCAGAAGCTGTTACAATAAATAATAATTATAACTTTCCAATCCAATGGCATTTTCTAACTTGCTTAACAAAACATCACTATCGGTGGTCAGTGTTTTCAAGTGGTTCAATGTAGATAATAGATCAGATAATAGATGTGCTGGGTGGCTGTGTTTAACACTGAGGAAGCTCAGACAACTCTCACAATAATAATACTGACAATCACGGTAAGAATAACACTCACAGTGTGACGATGTCGGCGTTGGCGGCCTCCACTGCTATTGTCAAGGGTGTTTTTTCATCAATGTCTGCAGCATTTTGATTTGCTCCTCTTTTTAAGAATAAACACACTTGCCTGAAACAGAGAGAGAAGTTTGTCAGATCTGGGTTGCATCACACTCTTTATAATGCACTCAATCAATATTCTCTGAGTTTGGTGAAGTAATAATAATGAGATGTGTAGGACGAACCCTGTGTGTCCCAGCATGGTGGCGTGGTGGAGGGGTCCTCGGCCCTGAGCGTCCTGCTGGTTCACATTAGCTGCATTCTGGAGCAGAAACTCACAGGTGACCAGCGAACCCTGAAATTAACCATTAATGTGACATGTTATATACATTTCCAGTGACAAAACACACAAGATACAGTCTTCAATTAAACTGTAAAACAATAAGTGTTATTATTATCTTCACATCAGCTGTTCTGTTGGCAAATAAATAAATTAATTCCAACTTGTCCAAATTTTCTTGACAGGTCTTTCAAACTATCCCTTCAGTATAGTAAATGGTACTGAGCTGACTGGATGATCTGTAGCGATGCTCACCCCCTGCACCGCCATGATGAGTGGCGTCCTCTTATCATCTTCTGTGTTGACCCAGTTGACCTCAGCTCCGTGGGCCAGCGCCTCCGCCATGTCCGGCAGGCTGCGGGCGCATGAGGCCCAGTAGAGCTGCAGACCCGGGCTGTACTCCTTAGGCTCGTAGAAAACCACCTCCTTACAGGGCGACGGAGGAGGCAGTGTGGCAGGCATGGCCATGGGCGGAGGCTCAGCAGCCTCTGAAGAATCGGAAGGAAGAGATGTGAGTGAAGAGGGTGGAAACATTAAATAACAGCCAACCACTTGCCATTTAGACCTCAGACATTTTTCCTCAACAATAATTAGATCAAATTAACTCCCTTAACTGTCCTGCAACTCATTTTTAGTCAATTGGGGTTATGTATTAGTGTTATTATGTGCAGGTAGCTTGTAACTGCACGCTGGTACGATGACATCTCTGTTAATCTTAACAATGGCAACACTTATTATGATTATGTGTTAAGTCAAACTGCATTAAGCACCTGTGGCTCTTCAACTTGCCATTTCTTCTTTCTGTTGCATCATTCTTGTCCCTCTGACGCAAGATGTTTTTTTAACTTGCCTAATACGGTGTTAGCTTTAGATTTAAACAAGCAGGGATGTCTATGAAAAAAGAGAAGTGTGTGAGGGTATGTGTTTGTGTATTACCTGCATCGGTGAGGCTGTTATTGGAGGGGGTGTTGGCCAGCATCTCCCTGCTCCCATCAGCGCTGTTCTGGATGCCGCTGTCTGCACTTTTTACTGTAAATCAAAGTCTGAATTACTACTTGTGGAAAAACACACAGATGTCATTCACTGAGTGTATAAAATAAAAGGAACACCTTCCTGCTGACTGTTCTGGTGGCAGAAAGCAAAAATATTCAGGCAGATCATCACACACAGCCTCCTTATGTAGCCCATCAGAAGCCTTTTAATAAATGTGTTTTCAGTAACTGAACAATGTTCGAACCTTTGACGAGTGCTACTTTTTTTCCCAGTGAGATTACACAAGAAAACAGCAGGTGGTCCAAATATTTTGTACAGTTAGTGTACACACAAGTCCCCTGCTGAAATCAACAGAAACAGAACTGGATGACAGATCCCCACCATCACCTTATGTTTCAGTTCCCTAAATACCAAGAAAATGATGAGACAGATACAAACGCAAATACCAGACACTGACCAAAACCATGTGACAGAAACACTCCCCACCCCCAGGGAAAAACAACACGGTACGCTCTGCAATGCTCTTAAAATGACGGGATGGGTCCAATAGAAAGGTTTGGATGAGGGAGGAATAAAGGAGTGGATGAAGGGGTTGTCAGTCCACAGCCCCAAAGCAGTGAAAACAAATGGACAGAGGGGATGGAGAAGCAAGCGAAACACTAAGCATTTAGTACTTACTGCTCCTGAGCTTGGAGGAGTTGTCAAAGTAGGAGAAGAGCGAGTCAAGCTCGTCAGGACAGAAGAGAGAGTCGCGGCGGGCCTCCAAGCCGCTGGCAACAGCTACGTTAGGGATAATGGGAGTTCGGAGGGTGAAGGGTGTAAATTGAGTGGCAGGGTGGGGAGTTTTAGGGTAGGCGGTGGGAGCAGGGGTTAATCCAGAAGCACAGAACAGCCAGGGGAGGATAGAAAGAGAGAGAATGTGAACAAGAGATTGAGGAAGAGGAGAAAGAGGAAAGCAGGCTGAAAGCAGAGATAGTTAGACTACCAGCTCAGTCGACACTGGAAGAGACAGATTACGAGAAGCAATGGGAGGCAAAGAGGGCTTAGACATATGCTGTTCGCAGAGAACATACAGTATGCCGATGGGTGGACACTTCTCCACAACAGTGCAACTATCACACAGATCATCATAAAGAAAAGGTGGCCACAATCACAAATGACACTGGCTCTAAAAGTTCTGTTTCTGAGGTTGGACGACAGAAAAATTCAAACCTCTGAAATTCTATTGTATTTGTTTTGTAACCAGGTAACTTAAAATTGGAAGTTTATATAACATTGCTGATCAAGTTCATCCAGCTAAAATTCACTTTTTAGTGGTTAACTTTTGTGTGATTGACATAATGCAGGTCAGGATCAGCACCTCTGATTGAGTTTTATTGTCAGTTTGATTTTGTGAATCATGTTATTCATTAAGTTCAGAGATGAGGGAAATGATACAGAAAACACAAACTCTTATGTTGAAAGTGTATTACGTTTGTTAATATTTCTACTAACCGGACTGTCCGGAGACGTTTGAACCAGGTCTGAGTTTTGGGGTGGGTGGTGGTGGTCTTGGGGGCAGATGCTCAGAGCTGCTGCTCAGCCTCTTCTCCTGTTTGCTCAGAGAAACCACTTTGTCGCGGAGCTCCTCGTCAGACGGCCGGCGTACAAACCGGCGGTCCACGTATTTGGCTTTGATGTAGGCCTCTACCTCGTGTCTGTTAGGAACAGGAAGCATAGGGTTTTGTTTGTCAATAATATAAGGAATTTAAGCTGTCTGCTGGTAAATTACTACAGTTTATCTACTCAAACCAAGCTGAATTTCATGCAGAATCTGTAGTCAACTACAAACTGTGTGTTTAATTTATCGTGGCCAAAGTTACATTTTTAATACACTAAGACTAAAATGCCTCTTAAAAATTAATTGAGAAATTAATTAAGGGAGAAAATAAACATAACACATATATATATATATATATATATATATATATATATATATATATATATATATTTTCTTGCAGAACTTAAAAAGTAGATCTTTTGGTCTTTTCTACCTTGGATCTCCTGGCTGGGGTTTTCTGGCTCCTAGCTCCTCTCGCCGAGCCTCATAGATCTGGTTGATCGCTCCATTTCCCAGTTCACACATCAACTGTAAATGGTGTACAAAAACGTTAGCAATACAAAACACACATGGATAATCAACCAGGACGTGGAGCGTATAACTCAGCTACAGTGATTGTAAAGCATATACGAAAACAGATAAAGACTAAATAAATGTGTGTGCAATAAAAATAAACTAAAAGTAATTCATGGATTATCAGCACATAATTAAAGTCTTCTGAGTTTGAACTGGATGTTCATGTACATTCGTTTTTCCTCACTCACCTTTAGTAGTTCGGGCTCCCATGTATCCAAAGTCAAAGACCGGACCTTAGAGAAATGCACACCCAGACTCCTGCAGATGAACGAAGCATTAAGAAATGGACAATGACATTCATCATTATGTTTTTTTGTGAAAGGGATAAAGTCTGAATGCTGGAAAGTCTTAAAGACCTTTATACTTTTCAACACAAGAGTGTAGTTCAGGATTTATCCACAAGGTGGAAATTTAGGTCTGCAGATTGATGGGCATTAATTCATTATTATGTCATTGATAACAAACCCCTGTATGTAGAGAACCTAGTTTTCAGATAAACATACAGTACTCTGACTGCTCTATGCCTTTGTTTGTAATATATGAAGACCTTCATTTTTCAATTTCCATAATTGAAACTCTTAAATTTCCAAATCCACTGTCATTAGGAAATCACAATAAAGACCTGTAAGATATTTTAGTTTATAGCCTGAATGATAATTAATCAAATTTATATTTTACTCTGGACAGTAATTAAAATGTCATCACAACATGCAGGCTGGGTGTTCATTACAGTGAGTTTACATTTCATTAAAAATCCCTAAACACCAACATTTCGTATATTCTAAAGCATTCACACTATGGCCCCTGATGGAAAAGATTTTCCATAACTAAGTCAACATACGTCCACTTTTCATCCTTTCCAGTTTCCACCAAACCAAAATGAACTAAAAATGAACTGTATTCCAGCAGCAGCGGTAGATAAATAAATCAAATGTGCTGATATTGGTTCCCGCTGTTTATTATTTTATTTATTTCTCAGTTCTCCTTTCTGGAATACATTTTCATAGCACTTGAATGTATAAGTTGTTGTATAAGTTATTTAAGAATTTAATGACTTTGTATCATCCTTTGTCATTATCTGTTTCTTTTAGTTTGATATTTTATTTTTCTATCTCCTCTATGGCTCTTGCCATGTGTCTAGCTTTTCGTAACCTCAACATTAAAAGACCTATTAAAAGCATTTGGTTACCAAAACTGTAGGACTTTACCTGTGGATACCAGAGCACTGTATACAGAGGGTGATGCCCAGATTGATGCTGGCCCAGCGGGGGTCTGGCTGGCCACAGTCGCAGCAGCAGGTGTTGCCTGTAATGGCCAGGACCTTCTGCAGGGCACTCTCTCCTTTCAGTGATCTCTCCTTCGGTTCGCCACCAGAGTCCAGGCTCCCTGTCGACGTGGATGACTTCCTATCCAGCTTCTGACGTGAGAGAGACAAGAATACACAGACGTCCAGAAGGATGGTAAACATTTATTAAGATGGGATAGAGCACAGAGGATGAAATGTAATTAAATGTAACTTTATCCCTGTGGTGTGATTGGGGCAAACACTAACAGTCTACACAAAGAAAAACTGAATGTAAACAAGAGTATAGGAAACTGGTGTTATATACATAGACACAGGTTAATTAAACTCTTTATTGATTCATCTATCTGATGTATATGTGAGTCTCTTCAACAATCCACTCAGTATGAGTGTGTTTGTTTTTTACCTCGCCGTCATCTCCCTTGTCACGGAAGGCGGTGGCGATGCTGTTCTGGACGGCTTTGATCCAGGCCTGCCGCAGCTTCTCTGAGTCTGCCTGCATCATACAGCTCCTGTTGGGACACACAAGCATCACACAACTGCTGTCTCTGTGTGTGTGTGTGTGTGTGTGTGTGTGTGTGTGTGTGTGTGTGTGTGTGTGTGTGTGTGTGTGTGTGTGTGTGTGTGTGTGTGTGTGTGAGTGCGTGCGTGCGTGCGTGTGGCTACACTGCTACTCCGCCTTCCCACCTTTAGTAACATATTCCAGTGCTCATTAGACTGATGTGGAGGGATATTTCAGTGGGTCAAACTTACTTTGTGGGTGACACCACTTCGAAACAGAAGCGACGCTCTATGTCCTCACAGTGTTTGACTGTACATAGTCTCAGGTCCTCCACCACCACTGTAGGGTTGTCCTGAGGGGACAGCACAGCAGCTTTGGTTAAACACAATACACAGACACACACACACACACACACACACCACACACACACACACACACACACACACACACACGGTAACACGACGTGAAACAGCAAATCTACGTTTTCCATAGACACTTTTTGCAAAGGCAAAATGTATGGAAAACGTGTAACACAATTTCTTTAGTGTTACAAATAAATGTGTATATCTTCACTGAATGATAAAAGTAAACTAAAAAGAAATAGAGCATAATGTGACTTTCCCAGTATATATGATGCTGTTTACATCTGCAACAACTACACATCAATACATCTTCACATACAGCTGTGGTTTATCCTACGCTAAATTTGTGTTGACTACTACAGTTCTTAAATGAAGCAACAGCCTCCTGTTAAAAATACATTGGATGGTATTTGTGCTGGAAGTCAAACACATGTATATCTGATTGTGGTTAGTGTGCAGGGAGTCACTTGACGTACCTTAAATTTCTTCTGGTAAACTAGCTGATTGTTCTGGATGGAGAACCAACGCCTGGAAGGAGATCACGAGAAAAACAAAGTCACATGCAGGCGCCAGTGACGCTCCTACAATAACACGCTTTGACTAATTTTAGTGTGGATGAGAGCGACGGCAATGCCTAGAGAGAGAGCTGATGAGTAGATACGTTTATTAACAGGGTCATGTTACTGTATTTAAATACAGTAAAACTATAGTATTTTAAAAAGCTATATGTACTGAAAAAAGGAAACAATCAGCAGCATTCAGTCAATAAAGGCAGACTCATATACAGTTCATTATTCATTACATCTTTCAAAAACTGGGTTATTTGCCCTGTTTTATTTGTTTTGTTGATATTCACTTTGGAATAAAATTATGAGGGGAAAAGCAATCCTAACGAAAGCCTCATCTGTACATGTTTTATGGAGATTTAGGTTCAGAGGTATAAATACAACTAATGTGGTCCAACTTTAAAAGAAAGAGGTGACAGCGGTATGACCCTTTCAATCAGTTAAATAATGTACCGTATTAACCTCTTTCTTCTACATCTAACCCAATTATATTCTTGTGACTGTGATAAAAAAAAGGGTACTTGGCTGAGTTATTAAAATGCCAAGCACCTTTAATATCTCTGTAAAACATTTTGATGACAGTGCTTGCCCTACTAAATCCACAACCAGCCCACGAGAGCTATTCCTTATCATAAAATTGAATTTTCAATGTATTCATATGGATGCTAATCTGTCGTACCTATTCCACGTCTTGAAGGCATTGCTGGCCCTCTTAAAGAGATAACCTTCCATGGCGATGCCGTTGTCTGCATCCACATTGTACTCCAGCTTGGTGTCGTCATTTGAGAAGTCCTGAACAAGAGACAAGAAGAGGAAAAGATGGAAAGGAAGTGAGAGTGTCAGAACAAACGAGGAAAGAGCAAAGACAAAGGACAGGGAGGAGAAAAGGTAGAGAATGAAAACAAACAATGCCAGTGTTAAAATAAAATATTCCGCATAATCAGGATTTACAATATTAACCATCTCCTGTGTTATTTTGGTACTAGTGATTGTGGCTGGTGTAGAGTGACTCTGCATTTTTCCCAAAGTCACAAATTAGGACTATGAGTCTCAGTTGAGCTAAGTGACCTTGTACAAAGCAGCAATGCACAGCTGCTGCTCACACACCACCACCTGAGTGATGTTTCACTCCAAGAACCGAAAAAGACAGAAACAACACTTATAGCTTAAGCTAACAGTGTAATAATCTAGTATAATTAATTCTGTGTATTAACTGAGATAGAAGGTCAAATGTAGATCAGACAAAATACTGAAAGACCTCTAATGTGGAGACCACACTTCATTGAGATTTGTCTCAAGACTTCAAACTGTTCCATCCACCTTCCCCCTCTGTCTCTGAAGGGAAAATTTGAAATTGAAATAGCAAGGAAACATAACATATACCAGGATAATACATAACCAGCTACAGGTTTTGTCGTGGAAACTGAATAATCAGTTCTTGCCCAGTTCAGGTGAGAGATGGCAATTAAATACCAGGAGACGCACATCACGTCATGTGTTCATCCCATGATCCTACTCCTCAAATACCTCCACACATATACTGCTTTGTGGTACAGATACACAAGAGGTTTCAACCCCCTCCATGCTAAACGCCTTTACAATGAGCAGCTTCTATTCAGTAAACAAACAACTTAAATTTGGCTATACATGGTGGCTACATCTATTCATTAAGCATAAAGCATGTGAACAACAGCAACAGTTTAAAAACAAAAACACGATCATTAAGTCATTAAGTGTGTACTGGAAACACAACGATGAATGTTAACTATTATCTAGTTATTTAGCTACATGTAGGTGGTTGGTGAGTTAGTTATTGTCCTCCAAAGAGTATAGTTTTAAAGTCAGCTTTCAAGCATCTTTTCTCTCACCAAAGTTGCTGCTGAAACCCAATCTGGTGTGTTGTCATGGGACTGTCCCAGTGGCCGGTCTTGTTTTAACTACCTGAGCTGCTGCCACACTTTCCTGACACCCTCCCAGGTTTTCTCAGCACCAAGTGACATACAACACCATGATGCATGCATGGATTGTGTGTGTGTGTGTGTGTGTGTGTGTGTGTCCTTGTGGAGTCAATTTACACAGCGTGTCACCATCCACACAACCAATTACAGCTCTAGGTCTGTTACTGTAATGAGCTGTGGCGTCTTCTTCTCTGTTGTCCTTCTAAAAACATCCAGTGGCTTTTTCTGACACATACCAGTCTGATTCACCTTGTCCTCCATTATGAAACCAATTAGCTGTGGTGCTCCGATATATAAAACTGTGTATATCTCCAACAAACTGAGTTCAAATATTGAGAGCAGTATTTACTGTATGCAGTTAAAGTTTAACTTGGATTAGTGAAATAGTTGTGTTAAAGACAGAGTTTTTGCATCCTATTGATATTTTTCTGTCTTTTTTCTAGATGTTTCTCTTTATAATGTGATATTTTAATAGTTTTATTTTAAAAAAATTTTGGAATGTTTTTTCCAATAAAGTGTACTCAAACTAAAATTTACACTGATCTTTTACGTGGATGCTTTAGAAACTTTTATAGAGACTTTTTATGAAGTGCTCTTGAGCATAGATCAGATCCAACAGCAACCACAAACTAAAATCAACCCGACTCCCATGATGAAGAGTTCCACCTACAGTGACACTGGACAGCCTCAACTCTCTCAATGTCAATTTACTTCTAGTGCATGTTTGCAAATTGTCCATGTGGATGCATGTTGTCTGTCATTGCTTTGATCTTTAAATGTAACTTGAGAAAAAGCTTCAGTTAAACCCCTCTGCCCTGTGATACCATGCTGTATTGGATGGACACACACAACACAGACACAGACACACACACACAGACACAGACACACACAGACACACACACAACACACACAGACACACACACACACACCACACACACACACACACACACACACACACACACACACACACACACAGAAGCAAGTGCAATTTTCCAGCATGACATACACTGGGACAACTGAGGTTATTTTGGGTGCACAAGGGGAACAAATGTGTCTGTATTAAGCTTATAAACACAAAGGCAATGGAAAGTACCAATCCAAGCCTTCTACAAATCACCTTTTCCTAGAAGTGGGACTAAATTACCCCTGTAGTGGGGCCACACAATTCTCCCAGTCATCCTAATAACACATTTTTAGCTAACAATGTATAGTAAAATAAGTACCACAGATCCATAACTCAGAACCTCAGCAGTGGTATGATGCCTGACTGAATAAGGAAACCACCCATAATTCAGCTTAGGCCAAGGAAAACACAACACCAAAACTGACCTCTTTGATGCATGTGTGTGTTCACTCACACATGTACACACACACGCAAGCACAAATATCCATACAAACATAAACAATCCTTAATTAAGACCAAGGCCAAAGAATTAAACACAACACTGTTGCTGTCATGTGAAAACCTCTCTGGTTCTCTTGTTTCTACTATGGGTTGAAAAATGTCTGACTGCTTGGGGCTGGGAAACCATTTTAAACCCTGTCACATACATTTAAAAACAGGTAGTGGTCTAACTATAAGTAAGGAAGCTGTTCTTGGTTCCTGAAACATGTTAGAGATACTAGGTTTTCGCCTGACAACACAGTCACAAAGTGATCAACTGCAAAGCAAAAAAACACTCGCTGACTTCAAACCAGCAACCTTAGTTCACTGTAGCAGACACTGGCACCAACAATGAGGCATCAAACCAAACATGCTGCATAATCAACACAAATGCATGTGGAACACTCTCAAATGAGGAAGCAGACATAGATGCAAACATCTACACAAACACTGCAATGCAGTCTCTGAGCGTGTGCAGGAGAGCAGAGGAGATGAAAGACAGGGGCAGGTAGGGTTACAGACGGAAGTCAGATGGAAATCGATGCGGTGACTCTACGTACAGAGGACGACCTCCAAGCGCAAAAGTTGCGGTAGTCTGGTAAAGAATGGAGCTCAGTCACCTCCTAAAATGTCACACACAGCAAGAGAACGGCACACAGAGAAAAGAAACGTGTATTTCCTTAAGAAATCATTGATTTATCAAAATTAAAATGACGCACAGACAAGAGAAAACACTCAAGCTAAAGAAGCACAGATATAAACAGACTATTACTATAAATAGCCATGGGCACAAAGGCAATGTCACGTGCACGGAAACACGCACGCACGCACGCACGCGCACACACACACACAAACACATATATATACACATATATATACACACACACTAACTCAATCTCATTCTTTTCGGTGCACTCACCAGATACCAAACGTAGTGAAAACGGCTGAAAATCTTCATTTTTCACAGATTTTATGGAGTGTATGTATGCCTGTGTGTATTTCTCCCGTGAGGCAGATGAATCTTCGCTATCTCAAAGTCTCCCTGTGTAGCATCTCAATGTGAGTCTGTGACTCTAAACAGTCTGGCCTCACTACAACAAACTCTCACCTCCTCCTCTCCTGTGGCTGTCTGTGTCTATCAAAACTTTCGTCACTGCCTCTGCTGCTGCTGCTCCTCCCCGAGGCCTCACGCACTAAGTGAAGGTCACCTGCGCGTATGTGTGTGTGTGTGTGTGTGAGTGTGCGTGTGTGATGCTACTGTGACTGCTGGGTTAGAATAATTAAGTGGACCATGCAGAGGAGCTCGGGCATCAAACATTTATACTGACTTCAGCCTAACAGACGTGCACTCAGCTTTTCTTCTCACTAGTGAGAATGTAAATAAAGTAGCCAACCCTTTAACCACGCTGAATGTTTATAATGTTTGAGCCTTTAAAATGTGTGCATTTAGTGTGCATGACTGTTAATAGACACTGGCTTATTATCCCAGAAACACAATCAGACCATTTTAATACCTTAGTCGTTAAAAAAACCCTGACACATGTTCTCTTTAAGTCAGCAACCCGTCTGTTCTGTGGCATGATTGTGACATTGTCATGTCATTTTGTGGTCGCAGTACTGCAGCTGAGTAATGCACATAGACAGACAGGAGGCATACTAAACATAACCTCAGGACCCCCTTCAACTCTCATGAGAATAGAAGGTTTCATCAGTACAATGAAAATGATAATGGGAAATAAAATGGCTTCATGTGTAAGCACAAATAAAGAGGACAATATGCACAGGAATGAAAAGACTGTCCTAACAAGGGAAAAACGTACAGATTTGAACGTCAACTGGCTTACGACACATGATGAAATGAAGGGGGCAGATATGGTCACTCATCAATACTAACAATTCTCAAAGCTCAAGTATAAAAAGAAACATTCTGTGCCCAGTGCATCAATGCAAATAACACTAGAGGCTAAGGGTCCAGTTAAAGGGTCCAGTGTGTAGGATTTAGTGGTATATAGCAGTGTAGTTGCGGTTGTGTAGTAGGGAGGTGGTTGTAGGAACTCCCTTGCTTCAACCCCCTTCCTTCTAAGTGCGAAGGAGAAACTATGGTGGCCGCAAAAAATGTAAACACCCCCATCTAGAGCCAGTGTTTGGTTTTGTCCCTTCTGGGCTACTGTAGAAACATGCCGGTTCAACATATCAGACTCCATGGAAGGTGACCCGCAGCATCTGTAGTTATTAAAGGCTCATTCTAAGGTAACAAAAACATAACAATCCTTATATTCAGGTGATTATACGCTAACAACAATAACAAACATAGTTCTATGTATTATATTCAATTCCTGTCAATAGATCCTCCTAAATGTTACAAACTGGATCTTTAAGCAATGCAGCACCTGAGGGAAGCCATTGTAAAGTGTTACCAAGTCATCTGAACAGCAAATGTTCCCTTCGTCTATTTCCAAGGTAAAACATTTCTTTTCCACTGCACTTGTAGAATGACATACCCATACTGAGTACTATAAGCACTCAACTGGAAACCTTTGAAAGATAAATGAACAGAAATGTAATAAAGACCACCCTTCTTGCCTTAAATAAGTCGGTTTAACATCTGTAAATAACTGAACCCAACTGAGCACAAAACATGCAGCAGTGTGGAAAGCCACGTGCAATGAGGCATAATGGTATCAAAACAGTCTTAATCTGATTAATGAATCAAGGGTGACACATGCGTAGATTAACTGCAAAAGGCACAAGGGCACACGTGACAACTGAAATCTATTAAACTGCATCACATCATGCATGTTCCCTGATTAAACTCATTATGAATAACCTCACTCACTGCAAATGACGTGAGCTGCAGAGGAGTTACAGCTAAGTGTACAGTATCTATAAAACCATGCAGACATGACACAGAAGAGACAGCGAGGGGACAAAATGAAGAGCAACACAGCTTACCTGCAGAGCAGCCTGAAGTGAGTAGAAGAAGAAGAGATGGGGGGGGAAAGAGCAGTAGTAGAGGAAAAGAAGAGACAGTTGGTTACACTCCATCAGCCAGACGAGAGAGAGCAGTGGGAGCGAGGCAATATAAAAATAGCATCTAGATAAATTGAGGGAGGGTAGGTGGAGGATAGGTGCTCAAGGACAGATGGAAGTTGGCGCACGTACCATCACTGACCGAGAGCAAAAGGGAAGAGAGAGAGGACGAGAGACACAGAGGGGGAAAGGCACACACAAAAAGAGTAAAAAGCGGCAGATTGAAAGAAAGAACATCTCAGAAGAAGAACTACTTGCAGTTAAGAGACTGAAATGAATGTCACTGAGGCAGAGAAATGAACAGAAGCAGACAACAGCTGGGTAAAGGTCTAACAGATGTTGTCTGAAGTTAATGATGCTGTGTGATGTACAATTAAAGCTACGGAAATTAATTACCACCTCATGTTGTAACATAACACACACATCCTGCTGAACTTTGATTCTTTTTAGGGTTCACATAGCTCGAAAGAGATCAGTGTCCAAAATTAACAGGAAGACAAAGGAAAACACACAGAAATTTCAGTGAAATTAAACGTATGAGGGCAACACGTTGTCTCTTTACATTTTATTTCCTAGTAGGCAATATATCAAAAAGTGTGACTCATTGGGGATATTAGGGTTGGCATGGGTGCTGACCAGAGATGGGAGAGTACTGAAACCCAACCTTGTTTGTTTGGAAATGGGTTTCCGTCAGCTGTCAATAATACATGGGTGTGTGGCTGAGATCATCCTTAGGAATCACCTTACACCTGAGGGCGGAGTACTACCTCCATTCACTCAAATGACAATTGTACAGTAAAGGGTTGAAATCAATAGTTTAGTGTATGAATGCCCCCTTGGGAAAATGCTTTCCAAATAAATTGATTTGTAATAAACCAAACTAAGTGATGTTGTGATGAGGGGGGTAAGACAACTGGCCATGGGGTATAAGATAAGTCCTGCAAGGTTTACTTTTAATAGGAGGAGGCCCGAGTGCAATAAGAAAGGCTTTGTGACCGAAGGCAAGAGGATCCAACAGCCATAAAGAGCACACACTGAGTAAATGAGTGTGTGTTTCTGTTTCTGTGTTTTCAGGTTGATGGGCAGAGGAAAGGAGTATAAAATTGTTCCCTCCACAATTGCAGTTTTATTTTGTAGACACTTTAAATGAAAGTGAAGATGGGACCATATAGTGTGAGTCTACCTTTTGCTGGATGGTCGAGTGTTTCTGCTCCATGTCCCTCTTCTCTTTGGCAGCATCCACCACCAGCTGGTCCAACTGCAAGAGACAGGACAACTGATGAGTCAAGATTAATGAACCAGCTGATCACACATTTTCAATTCAAAACAGCATGCACAAATGTTTAAGACACATTTTCTGAGTTTTTCTTTTAACAAAATTTAATTTTCTGTGTTGGGTGAATTCAAAGGACTTAAAATAGTATTAATTTTTATCAAAGGAAAAAATTATTAACACTTCACAGTCTTTCTTTTGATTCATTTTGCAAAATAATAAGAGAAAAAGCAGGTAAGAGACTCTTTGAACTGCACCTGAAAGGTGTATGTAAGCATGTGTGCACTGATGCTTCCTTATTTTCCTTTCCAATCTTGAGAGCATAAATGATTCCAGCAAATAAACAACATTTCCAAAGGCCACATCCAAACAAGATAGGCCTTCTCTTCTGAACAAAATGGGCTGTGCTACGGAGGCTTGATCATGTGTGAAATTGGATGGGAGATGATTGATTCTCCTCGTCCCCGCAAGTAACCATTGCGTGTAGAGACGAAAACAAAGGAGTGTTTGAGCAGAGAAGAAAGCAACAAATTAAAAAAAGGACTTCAATGAAGTACTGGAGGTCACAGGGTGATGCCGAAAATGTGCCAGTTTTGCCTTACAGCAGTTAAATTCTACTCTTGATAGCCTGTTGCAGCAATGTGACCTAAATCAATATGTCTCGCGCCTGAAACACAAAAGGATCAGTATCTGATTATGATCCATGTGAATAAGGGGTGAGTAGGGTTCAAAGCTTCAGTTAGAAAAATAAGTGGTGAATTTTGGAGGATGTAACAGATTTATCTGCCAGGAACAGACTGCCTCAAATCACACACGATTAACTTTTTGCTCTTCTTTACTATATAAATTTAGCTTGATAACAGGTGTGTCAAGAAACTCTTAATAGTTGTCATGGAGCCAACCTGAACCTAGTACTCTCAATTACACAACGTAAATTATGTAACTTGTCAACACTGAAAAAACAACAACTCATCAGGATTTGTTCAACATCATCAGTCTCTTTGTGGCCATGTTAATGCATTATATCCCCTAAAGGCCTTGATTTCTTTAAAATTAGAATACAGTGGTTGTTATGTGTTATGTTAAACACAAGTGTTATGTTTATTAGAGATTAGCTACGCCCATTGTCTGCACCTGTGGTGGCTTTTCAGACACTAGTTACAGTAGCACAAATTCAAGCTGAATGGCAATTTGTACAAATGTGTTACAGAGAAGCCAGTGTACCAAATGAGACAGAAGAGGGTGGAAACACCATTTTACTTCCTTTCTGCTGCTGCAGAGTTTTGTATTGTAGCTTTTGACAGCTACAATTCTCAGCAAGATAACATTCGACTTAATGCTTAATTCACTGAGCTTTCTTCCACAAAACATATTCATTTTGGGCCAAATATATGAAAAAAGCTGATCATTTCAGAGAAGACAGCATTTGAGGGAGCCGGGTCTTTTGTTTTGTTTAGAGAGGAAATGGGTGGACGGCAGAGCGGCAGGCTGATAACATCAGATGGGGAAATGTTTTCCCCTGTCTCTCCGTAACTAGCCCAGTCCAGTCCGTCTATCTGCTACAACAGTATCTGTATCTGCAAAGGCAGGTGTGTGTGTGGGTTTGTGTGCGCAGATCTCCACATATTTTGTGACAGTGACTCACATTAACTTTAACATCTTATCTATCTTACTATGCGTGCCCCCCCACTGACGATGTCAGCAGAAACAATCCTCAACTGTTTCACGCTGCCTGTTTGTCGTCTACGCAGGACCAGTCTGAAGTAATCTGGTCACTCTGCCTTTCTGTTCCAATCTGCCTTGACATGTAACTTGGATGAGACGCTGCATGATTAATGGAAAAGATACAAAACATCCTTTTGAATGAATATATTCACTCAACATGTGTTCAGCCCTGAGGCATTGTGGTGGAAAGATGCAATCAGCAGAATGTCTTATATTTAGAAGCATTTTAGCTGTTTCCAAAGGCACGGGTGGAAAAAATAGCATATTTGACATGAATCATGAAGTTGTCATTCACAAGATATTTGATCCCAGATTTAATTTCATGTTTAAGTGTCTTGTCTTCCCCCTACTATAACCTTCTGTTTCAGTTACTGAGCTTTTGTCTACTTCAGCTCGGTAACTCATTCACAAACAACCACAGGAACATTACTGTAACAGTAACTCGGTTTTCTGCAACTACTTTGTGCAACCCATCTTCCTGTTTTTGTTTTTTCTGGCCACCATTTTTTTTTTTTTTACATAAACATATATTTTTTTATTTATCGTTTAGTCAGCTACAAGTTGTAATTTGAATTTTCAGCCTTCTGTTCACAAAAAAGATCAACACTGGCAGCAATATCATGCAAGATAACTAAACAATGTCCTACATCGCTTTAAAGCCTTCAACTTCTATCATTTCCTCACACAAAACTTTAATTATAGAATAAAGAGGGACCAAAATGTACTGCCCACCCTGGATCACTCTCTCATTGTTACAGGCATCAAGTCATATTATCAGACCTGTTGACAGCTCCTCCACATCTCCCTGCATAGCCTCTCCACTTTCTTCAGTTTCATGATGGAGTAGAAAAAAGAAATAATCCTCTGGTCACTGCTTCCCACTGCTGGGCCTCTGATCTTCCTCTCCTTTCAGTTTTTCGCTGTTCCAAATTCAGAGCAACAGGCTTACAGTCCACACAGCGAACCTATACTTCAGTTGTTCATTGGCTTGAAACCAACCCTCTTTCTCTCTTTCCTTCCCTCTCCACGATTTGGTTTCCAAAACAGTCTTTTACACTTCTGTTCCTTTTCCCTCACACAATCCTTGCAGTCTTTTGAGTGTTGAGGGCTTACAGTCCATGCCTTTCCATTCTACTTCAATCACTTTTTGCTTTGAGAAGATTACATTCTGCCTCTTATCCCTTCCTAAAATCTGCTTTTCAAAGTGGTTCCTGTCTTCCCCCTTCTTTTTTCCCAGCACTCTTTGGTGCTTTCTGTCAATTTCTTGACAGCACCAACGTCAGATGTTTCCAACTTCAGAGCATGAGGGTTAGAAAACCACACACTTCCCTCCGATCCAATTTAGAGGGCCACTGTCCCGACACTTAGTCATTTTTTTGTTGATTCAAAGATCAGAAAAACATGTTTACGAGCTACACTCTATTCAGAAGTGCCCTCTCCTCTTCTGGTCGTCTTCAGCTCCCCACTCTGTGTCCGGACTCCTTCCTTGGTCTTTCACAGAATTTTTAGAAATATAGAAATACGCTCTCTTATTCGGCTCTTCTACTGTCCCTGCCTCAGAGTTTATATTCCACAAGCTTCAGCATCAATCTCTGGTTTCTTTGCTGTGTTTCCTCAGCTGACTGTCAACCCTATAAGCTGTTTTGTGGGAAAACCCGTTTCCAGCCCTCTGACTGATTTCTTCCTCATTCCTGTTCACTATAACAGCAGCCCCACTGTGATAATCATCTTAAAGTCAAATTTGGGCCGTCCTCTGGCTCAAAGGGAAGGCTCTGTTTATCAGAGGATGCTCACACACACGCACACACACACACACACACACGCACACGCACACACACGCACACACACACACACGCACACACACACAGCTGAGGAAGCCAGGAAGATGGCCAAAAGTTACATTTCAGTCACCACCTGAAAAACTCCTTCCAAGCTATAAGCAAGCCCCTGAACAGGAACGCTGTTTAGGTAATCAAACAATATCGTCCTCGTCTACATAATAAAAAGTGTTTAGCCATGACAGTGCATTGGTATGTAAACTTAGCTGACATTTATTCTGCTACTCTGCTCAAAATAGATTCCTGTTTGTTTATATTGCGAGAGTTTATACAGTATGTTCTAATAACATTGCAAGTGTTGTCCAGGATGAGCTTAGTGTTTATTTTTAAGTATTACATTAAAATGAAAGCAAAGAAGATTAACATAAATTATGAGCCTTCCCAGTTAATTAGCTGACAGAGTTCAGTCAGCGTTTAATATCTTCTAAAAACAAATTGATAAATAAAAAAAAAAATCTGAATAGTTAAGAAGTTCAATAAATTCAATTACATAATTACATCAAAAAAAACATAAGTGATGGAACAATGTTGACAAATTAGTAATATTTAATATATATAGACAAAAAAATATTGTTGATATATTAAAAAAAGAGACTTTAAATTTAGCTGGTTGCTTTTATCAGTGTGTGTGTTCATGTATCAGGTTTTCGGAGATTTCTGTCAGATTTTTAGTTTTGCATTCAGAGACTTCAATTACAGCATTTCTGTGCCTAAATAAGAGTAAACAGACCACTGTATAACTGCTGCTGAAGCTTTGTGTTGTGATGCACACAGATACTGCTCTCTGTGGGTGTATATTGTAGCCCATACCTGTCCTCCAAGCAGTTTCATTAGAGGTTGTAGTTCACTGAAGAGGTCATATCCTTGATGAAAGAATGTCAGGTGCGCGTACATGAAGGACAACATCTGCAGAGAGGACAGTGAATATTCAGAGAGCCAGTAAGGTTACTGCAGAGATCATTTGATGTGTAAGAAAAGTATACTCACTGATTTCAGGATTTCCGATCTTCTTTTGGATTGTAGCACATTGATCTGTAATGAGCAAAAAACTAAATGGTGAGAAGTATAAAGAGGTTTTTCATCACTGATGATTTTCAGTAATACTGAAACAAAAAAGGAAAAGAGGCAAGCAGCAACCACCAAACTCATCAAAATCTATAGTGACAGTATCTTATCTGAGAAAAACTGCAGAGAAAGAAAGTGGCAGAAAAAAAGACAAAAAAGATAGAAATAAAGAACATAAGACTGTAAGACAGAAGACAACATAAGGGTAACCGAGGTAAGAAACTGTATATGAAACTAAAAAAAGAACTTCTTAAGAAAAAGGCCAATGAAAGAAAGCAGACAAGCGTGAAATGAGTTGAACTGAAGCAGAAAAATCACATCTTCACAGTAGTCTACAGTACTGACACCAGGGGGAGCTCCATCCTTTATGTTTAACCCAAGGATGCTGTTGCAGCCTATCTCACCTATCATCTACATGGCTGCATTCATTGTCATCTTCAGCTAATAACCACTGCGCTGCTCATCTGGCCTGGGACGTTATCTTGGGTTAATATTGCAGAGTAGAGACAAGTCATGGCAGGTTGTAAATACTGCAGGCGGTGCTTGCTGGCTTCATTGTGACTGACAGGAACTAATGACAGCTGTGTGACAGCAGAGTCACTGACTAGGCGCTGGGATGCATGGATGCATTTGGCTAGTACAGAAAGCCAGGCTGCTTCTGAATTAATTCTAACACTCTGCTTCATGCTTATGGATTATCCTGGTTTTCCTTTTTTGTGGTCATGAAAGCAGAGACACCACACTTCAGTCCACTCAAGAAGTTCAAATCCTTGTTGTGGCCAGCAATATTTTTTTGGCTGTAGGTTGAAAGGTCCTTTTCCTTGGCAACACTAACCACACTTGTGTTTATACACAGATCTAACTCCCACCCAGGGAAGGAAGCTTATTTTTCCGTCTCCTAGCCACAGTGGCCAGTGCATCACATCTTTTATGAGCCCCCTCCTTCTCTGGATGTCAGTTAGTAGTTTTAAGTGAAGTAGCACCTCTGCCACAAGCAGAATTTATGAGCATCTGTTTGGTAATTGGTTGCTAAGTTGTGGTAATTCAACACTTGTAGGACTGTAAAGACACAAAGTTTGAGCAAGATTTAGGTTTAGTCACTATTAGGTGTGGGAAATTGCAAGTTTGTTAAGTTCTGTAGACAACTCCCATTTAGGTTTAACAGTTGTTAACTTCTGCTTTTCTGTGTTATGTATATTTAAAGTTTAGGCATTGGTTTGTGTGTCAGAGGTGATAACATCAAGATGAAGATGAATTCACACTGCATTATTTACTGCATGATGTGATCTTTTACATGTACATGTTGTGTTTTCTAGGCTTGACCGACAGCCAATAAAGCAAACCCGAAGTTTAAAGTTCAGTATTTTATGATCCAGCTCTACGTGGCACAGCAGGGTAAAAGAGACATGCTCCATTCTTAAACTGTCTTGAATTCAAGTCTGGCTTACAACCTCTCTCATATATTTTCCTCTCCCTCTACCATCTTGCATGTCACTGTAAACTGTGCAGCGTATAATTAGGCAAAAATGCCACAAAAACAATCTAAAAAGAACAAAAAGTAAAGCTAAAATCCGTCTCAAATGTTTTCTGCATGCACAGCTGCAGAAGTTAGCAGCATTTTAAAAGTGCTGACAGAACTACCCAAATGTGAAACTTTAAAGGAGACCAATTTAAATCAGCTGTGCTAGCTGCTGGGCTTATAGATTTCCTATAAGCATACTAACAAGATAGAAAAGGCAAGATAAAAACTCAACTAATTTCTCGCAGCCAGGCTTCATTTTATGTGAGAGTGATTACACAGCGGGCCACTGGAGCAGACTGCCAAACCTATTTTGAGACCTGCTTTTGGGTTTCTTTTCAAAATCTAATTTTAGAGCAAACTGTGTCCATACAGCATTGTCTGTCCCTTTGGAGTGAGTTTCAATAACAGGGCTGCCAAGCTGCCTTATCAGAGAGCATGAAGCATTCATCTGTGTTCCTGTGGCCAAAAACAGAGACCAGCTGAAGTATTTAATGAAACATGAGCAGTGTTTACTTCGAAATGACATCTGTGCGGCTTTGACAAAAATAAGGTCTAACAGATCTAAACAGATTGATAATATATTAAAAATCTATGATAAAAAAAGTACAAGAAGGAACATATTTGCACAAAGGAGATATGCTGTGTATGCATTTAAATGCAAAAGATTTAATCACCTCAACTCATTTCCAACCACACAGATGATTCAACCTCTGAAAAGGGAATTGTGTGTTATGGTATCTCATTAATAAAATTGTAAATCCTGACTCATTTTGAAGCCAGCTGTTTTTCTTCCAATGCTAGATACAATGCTGTAGCACTCCTCAACAACTGTAAGACCTGAGGGTTTTTTTTATTACTGAAACAGTAACAAGAAAAAACTTTTTTTCCAGTTGTTTTATCAAGTACTTCCTCCTCCTGCTGCTCTCTTCCTCTTCTGCTTGTTCTGAAATTATTTTGCTTAAAAATATGAATCAATTTTCCACCACAGTGCTTCATCAAACATGACGGTTCACTGGTCACAAGAACATTGTGCAATCATGACCATAACGTTCAAACTTCAAACTTTCTATTCATTCACTTTCTATCAGAATTTTACACATTTCTCAATTACTGTGTTGTGTGTCTTCTTCTTATTGTCGTCTTCTTTCGCTTGTTCTGTTGAAGCGACTACAACTAATTCAACTGCTGCTCTCTGTGTCCCGTTAAAGCATCTGCAATGACTCCTTTCTGAGTCAAATCCATCCTGATGTGGAAGACTGGAACATGACAGGTGGATGAGCTTCACTTTGGATGTAACAGACTCAAACAGAGCTGCTGTTCATTCTTCTCTGTGCCACATCAGCATTTTTTCAACCTGACTCAGCACATTATCCAAACCCATGTTGGCAAGACTGCACAGAGAAATATCCTACACGACGGTGTGTAGCTGAGCATTTTTTATATATTTTTTAAAGCTTCTCTGTTAAAAGATGCATGTCAGCCACCTGTTGCTATATATAGGCCTGTCGAAATCTGTACCACTTTAGTGAACCCAACGTATTTTTTCATGCGCTGCAAAATGTTGACTGAAGTCAGACTCAACATTAAAGGGGTCCAATGATCACAGCATGTAGTGTAATAATACGGAAACAGATTTTCTGTCATTTTTTCTTTTTAGTATAGGTGTAAGTTTAAGTCGTGCCACTGCTACTTGAAATTTGTAGCTAGACTGCTTATAAAAAAACATAGCACGCAGGACTTTTTTCTTAAAGAGGAAATTGAGCTGAAGAAAAGAGTGCCACGATTCCTATTCTTAATTAAGCTGCCGTACCTGTAAGACGTAGTCGAGGACGATGTGTCGGAAGCACTTGCGCGTGGCAGTGAGAATGTTGGTTGCCTCCTCCACCTCATGCTGCTTGTTGCGGGGGGCCTGAGCGTTCTTGATCAGAGCTGCCTCCTTTTCCTCGCTCACTTTGTCAAATTGCTTCTTGGCTTCTTTGAACTTGCGTAGGTCACTGACAAAGTAACAGAGGTAACAGCGGTTTATAAAGACAAATTAAATGTGGGCCTTATTGTACAAGCATGTATTAGTATGTTGGAGTGTAAATGGGGAAACTTTAGTTCAGGAAAAGTTTACTAATTTACTCATCAGGATATAAGAATAAAGGTTTTGCAAATTCTGGTAACAGTCTTATGCTGTTGAAATATGTCTGGTTACTTGATCTGGGTGGAAACACCATTAGATTATGCCACATATACATAAAGTAGTACAACAGCATTTTCACACAATTTAGGGGTAAAGCTTAAGGGGTTTGACAAACTCTATGACCAAGGTAAAAAAAGACTTTGTCGCTTTGTTGTCAACAATCGTGTGAGGGGAAAGGTCAATGTTAAAGGAAGCATAGTTATCTCTGGATATGAAGCAACGAGGCCATGTTCAGGCAACAGGAACACACAGAAGTTAAAGGTGATTTTAGAAATCCTGGTCAGCTGAAAATCCAAGAAGGTTGATATAAACAAAATGATTTGCTAAAACATTTTGACCCAGGTCTCTTGCAGCACCACTTATCTTGGGGAGAAGGAAAAAGAATTCTGGTCCCCATGTTTGTTCTTTGGTGTGTTTTGTCTAAGTGATATTAATATCTGGGTGCTGCAACGTAGTGAGTAATTAGGATGGAACATATTTCCCAGCTTTATCTGAGAAGTAAGGGTGCTGGTGATGTGGGCGTTTAGCCCTGGTGTGCCAGGGGCAAAAGCTGCTAATCCTTATAAAGAAATAGACTAGAAGGCCCTAGTTTCCTGCACTTGTGCTTCCTGTAGTTATACAAGCAGTCTGGAATTCAAGAGGAATTAGGAGGTTGTAAAAGGGGAGATATGAGGCTTGATTTGACTAGAAAATATTATTACATATATACAGTAATATAATTTAGTGTGCTTGCATGCCATGTCTGGATGCGCTGCCCATCAGATATTTTTCATCTTTCAAGAGACGGTTTTCTGTGTTCCTAATCCATTACACTTTTCCTCCAACATGGAACACAAATCTGGATACAAGAATGAGTAAAATGTAAATGTGCTGTGGCTTGTTTTCACAGAGAGCTGACACAAAATGTAAATGTAGGCCATTCTTCAAAAGCTCAGATTGCTCAGAGATATAACCAGTTTTATCCATCTTTATTCAATTAATACTCACTCTTTGACAAATGTTTGAAGCTGGGTCTTGATTGATCTCTGGGCTTGATCGAATAATATCTGTAAAGAAAGAAAATAAGAAAGAGTAAATTCTCTTTTCTGTTTGGCAAAACAGAACATTTGTTAGCTGAACAATTCATGCATTAACAATCTTAAGACACTTCTCTAAAAAAGCAGCAAAAAGCTGATAAATGTATTTACTTTCTAGGCCACCGGATGTTTTGCAAGTCAGCATTCAGTACCTCTGTTTAGAAGGATTTCTGTTAACATCACAGGGTGCAATTAAGCCACTAAATTTACACAAACAAGCTGACTTTGTAAACTCCCCTCATAAAGACATAAACACGAGAAATGATGCAATTTGCTTACTTTTGGTAATGAGTCATACTGTAAACTCATTAACCTGCATGCTTCCTTAAAAATGAGCTACCAGAGAAAAGGTCTGACTAACGCTCAGAATTGTGCATTAGTGTGCTTTCACGACAGACAAGACAATACGAGCAGTGTGTCTAGCAGTGACAAACAGATTGAGGACTGTGTTTGAGTGGATCATGTGCCGAAAGATCGCTGAGTGGCAAAAACCTATCTCACAGTCAGCTGACATGACCTCAGTCTCCACTGTTGAGTCACAGTCACAGGCACTGTGGCTCCTGGAGGCTTTTAGGGGTCTAGTCAAGGAAGCTAATAAGAGGAAACAGACTCCAGTGTTGAGTCATGGTAGACTGCCCACCTTGCAGCTTTTTGGGATACTAGTTAAAAAGACACATACAGTAATTAATTGAACCTGTAAATGTTACAGTCTGGCTTAAAGGTGGAACTAAGAATGTCTATACAACTAAACCTGAACAAGAACAAATTCAGCTTTAACGGCTACATAAATAATGTTAAAATGATCAGTTTACAGACATGTGTTTCATGAGAAAAACTTTACTAATATTACAGATGAATCTGCTTATTTATAATCAACTCATTGTTTGCTGAAAAGTTGCTATACTCACTGTTAGACAAGACTAAGCAACACATCTTCAGATTTAAGAGGCTTGAACCATCAAATGCTTGGCCTTTTTGCTTAAAAAATAATTTACATTATTAATCAATGACCAAAATAGTGGGGAGTAAAGTTGAGTCTGGTCAAGTCTCGTAAAAAGAGCCTTCCTTTTCACAGGAAACAGTGAAAGTGCAGAATGATGGTGTCATTATTCTATAGCCGTTACACTGTGGAATCAACATTTACTTTATAATGATAAGTTAGAACAAAAAAGCTATCTATTCTCACTTTAAAGTTCATGAATGCAATATAATATTTGTAGGGATGCACAGGTAGCGCAGTTCCACAACCACAAAGATCATACGGGTTCCCAATAGCAGTACCCCCTAGCCTGGTAGTTTGTTCTGGCATGTCTAAGACAGTGTAATGCTGGCTGGGAACCCACTCTGAACATGGTACACAGAGTTAATAGGAACAAGACATGACAAGGAAGATGAAGAAAATGACTTCTACTGTAGAACAAAAGCCTCTAGCTCACCCTGTGCCTTCTTACTGTGTGATTCTTAATGAGAGGACAAACAGAAATGTGCGTCTCCATCTCTTAATGTCAGCGTTGTGTGTACCAGAGACTGACAGCGGAGGAGGCTAACTAGTGGGAACAAACAGCCACATAATCAGATCTGTCCTTCTGGGTTCAGTGGAGAGTTTAGAGGGGGGCAAGAGAGGATAAAACAATGGGTAAGGTGTCATGTTTATTTATTGTCCAGGACCTAGTAGTTGGAAGTGGAGTGTATTAGACGACCATGCTGTAAAAGCTATAAGGCCAACAGACTATATTACTCTGACTGAAGCCTGGAATGGTTCTTCATGCAGATCAGCTGACTCCAGGATGACAAGCACATCGTAAAAAAAGTAGACCATGACCATGTTTACCTCAGTAATGCATGATTTATTCCAACAAATAAACACTCCACAACATGGGAGGCAGGGAATGGGTTTTATGAGATAGGAATACTCTCTCTCCATACCATGGAATTTATATCCCAGAGCTATGTTACATGACTTATTTAACTTTTCAAGATTTTCCCTTTACCCACTTTTTTTTTTTTTTTTATAGAGGGCAGTGTTTGCTGAGCAAGCAGACAAGTTTTCAGCAACACTCTGCTTTACAGTTTTATAGTAATATGATATCCCACCTAGAAGCTGCTGACTATAGCCACTTTATTTTACTTCTGAAAAAGCATTTCTTATACACTTTCTGCTTTATTTCTCCAACCAGTGGCCATCCTCTCATAGACCCATTTACTCTGCTATAGTCTGGTCCTTCCCAGCAGTAAATAAAAACTCTGACAGTTAAAGAGCTGTTGCAGATTGTTAGCCAAGCTGCGTTTAGTTATCACCCAGCTGTTAGAGGTGAACAAAAAAAAAAACAATACATCCGGTTTCACATGCCAGTGATAGCATACCGTGTGATAGTTGATCATCTCCTGCAGGCTCTCAGCAAACTTTGTGAGACTGGACTGTGGAGAGAAAAGAAAGACAGTTATGAGGGAAGACAGAGAAAGAATGTCACCATGTATCCTTATAACACAAATAATAGGACAAATAATAAAGACCTGTATATGTCTGCGTAGGCACAAATTCTTCTGTCTGACAGGTATGCTACACAGAAACTGTGTCTGGCTTTTTGGAGACACAATAACATTTTGGGAAAGAATTCTTTTGGCTAAGTTACTCCCTCGAAATGCATGCAGTGGCTGAACTTCCAAACCCAAGGGAGAGGCATTGAGTGAAATACACAAAGGCAAGACAGGAAACGCTTGCCTCGCTATGCAAAATTCATGTGAGAAAACAAAACAAAACAAAACATCTGACCTCGGCAAGACCCAGTGGACAGTACAAGGTTTAACTAGGCCTCATTTTTTTAAATTTAGATTTAATCTGGGAATGTCATCAAAAGAGACAAGAAGGTATTGCGTGCAAACAGAGAGGAAGTGCAGTCCTCTTTATATCTGGGAAGAAGGAAGAAGTCCGCCATGGTTTCACACTACTGATTTTAAATCTAATGTTTTGTAATGCACCATTTTCTAAAAGGTCCCATTTGCTCTTTGTTGTCTGTGTTCTCCACCGAGAAGATCAGGCAAATTATTTCGCTGACATATGAAAATGCGTTTTTAAAAAAAAAAATGTTTTTATCAACAATTGTCATTGGTCCATTTGTTGTATGTTTTGTGGCTGCAGATTTTTTAAAATGCTAGCTGAAGTAAAATGCTGCAAGTACTCGACCAATCAGACAAAAGTTGCTGTACTTTCAGAAAATACTACCCCCTGAGCAGGGACTTTTTGGGTGTAAAATAATGTCCCCAGAACTTATTTTAGACACGGGTCCTTGCGGAGTTCCTTCAAAAGGTTCCTAGTCACTGGGGAAAGTTCCTGTGGTAGAAACGTGGCTATTGTAATAGCACTAATGCTAGTGACGTCCTGTGATTCAGATCAAACCAGGTTGTTTTTTTTGTTTACCTCGATGACTTCATCTCTGGTGGACTGCTGGGCTAGCTCCCGGATTCCGTTAACAAACTGCTTATTAGCTGCATTGTAGGCTTTTCCAGCATCGATCATCCCAATACACAACTTCACCAGCTAGAGAGAGAAAGAGAAAGAAGCAAATGTTTAGCGGGGGGGAAGAAATAAAGAAATACAGTAGAGTAACAGACAGAAGCAGAGAGAAGGTGCTGGTCATTTCTTCAGGGTATTCTCTCTTAATAAAAACACTTGACGTTTGCTACTGAAAATACATTTTAGGAATTGTAGATTTGGTGGAACTTGGTGCTGCAGAGCGTCAGAATAACACTGAAGAGCAAGATGCTTCGTCAGTTTCTTGGTAATTAACAACAGGCACTTCTTTCCCTTCTGACTCATTGGGGGCAAAGATAATTCCAGGTTACATAAACTCACAACAAACACTGGCCGTTCTCCATCCACTCCCACACACAGGAGATGACACAGAGCCTGAATGTGCCTCTGCAGCTGAAGCAGCTTAATAACAACTCAACTATAAATGCTCATTTTAAGCAATTTCCTAGATAAGAAGTAAATGATCAACAATCAATTAATCAACAAAAGCTGATAAAATACAAAAAAATCTAAATAATGCTGTCACTCAAAATATGGCATCTAATTTCCCATATTATTAATCATATAACTTCATGGCCTGTATTTCCTCTTTTTTGTTGTTTTTTTCTGTCTCACACTCACAGTCTGTTGTTGGTGCACCATTTTCCACCATGACAAATTATTATTATAATTTTGTTGTATAAAATCATGTAAAACATTTATATTTATAACCTTTTTATCTTCGGTAGTTGGCACTTTAAAGCTAATGGAGCTCCACTCATTTCAATTAAGTTAACTTGACTGCTGCTGCTGCTTTTCTTCACTGCACCTACGCTCTATTCACTCAGTTGCCAGTTTATTAAGTACACCTAAATTTCCCATTAAAAAGGAACTGTGAAAACTTTTAGGGTTGCTTTCATTTCAAAGAAATTAAACCACAGTCTGATCTAAAACTAACCTGTAATAACCTTGAACAACCCACTTAAGAGCAGATTTAATATTGGCACAGTTATAAGTATGTTTACTTTTGACAACGTGGCTGTGTGTGTACATGTCTGCAACTCTCTCTTTAGCCCGTTGTCTCTTGACTCCACCCATCAACACACACACACACACACACACACACACACACACACACACACACACACACACACACACACACACACACACACACACACACACACACACACACACACACACACACACACACACACACACAGACTATCACAGACTATCACAGCTATACTAATGCACTTAAACACACAAACAAACCCACTCCCCAGTAGATCCTTCCTCTCCAGAGCAAGAGGGGAAGTGAGGCCGGGGGTGAGTCACAGAGGTGGGGTGAGGAGGAGGGTGGTACTCTGTAAGACTGTAAGTCCAGGAACAATGAACTGGGATCCTCCAAGCTCGAAAACTCGCCTTCAGCTAGCGAACATACTCTCAGCTCTGCAAAGCTCTGCAGGGATCCGCTGGGAGGAGGGATTGGTTTGCTTTCAGGGCAGGACACGACTACTAATTAACACTAGTTGTTTAGTTTTATTAGTTTATTATAGTTAATGTGAGCAGAGTGAGTGAGCCGAGAGGAAAAGGAAAAGAATGTACTCTGAACCAGCTGTAGGAAACAATACCAACAAATATTGACATTGAAAAACAAAAGTTCACATGTTAAAGTTAGCAAGTTAGAAAGTCAAGCACAACATATTCTGCACTAGCATGCATATTAAGCAAATCCCACTATAGATGTTATACTATGATAAAGAGAGCATAAACATCCATCATACTTACCTTACTTTAAGCTATAAGGACTCTAGTTTTGACACCACCTGCAACCTTAATCTCTTCATTTGTTTTTGCATCATAATTTGGACCATATGGACTATTATGTCACCCAATATGCTCCCATCCCTTAATCAAGGCCAAAATGGAACAGTCACCACTTTTATGATTTTGATAACCAAAATCTAACAAAAGATTATCACAGGTGAAAAGGGCTCATAGAGTGAATTAATGAGGCACAGGTAAAACACCATTTGGCCAGTAGTTGGTGTTAATTTCCCACTGTGACTGCAATAAACAGAGATGTGATCTGCTCCAACTCGAGTGAGTCACGATTTTAAGAAAGCAAATTGTCCGATTACAATACTTAATTACCTGTAATGGGTGTCATATACTTTTAAAACACATACACACCCACATATTTCAAGTGCAAGCCAGGTGCGCAGTGTCTAATTAGAGTCGTACTCAAAGGCAGTCTGCCAGGGAAAATACTGGGGACAAGGTCAGGGACAGACATGCAACGTTCTACTTACAGGATGGTCTCCGTAGCGGCCAGTTCACACAGTAGAACAAATGAACAATTAAGCAATGTTTTCCATGGGTGGTACTCACTTTGTCGAGTTTGGATTCCAACTCACACACATCCCCCTCCACTTCCTCTATGGTGGCTCTGTGGGGGAAAAAAAAAACAACATTTAAAAATCAAGTGTAACCATGACGCCACACTGTCAACTTCACAGGCGTTGAGAGGCGTTCATGAAGCAGATGGTGAAAAGATAAATGACACACTGCAGGGGAATCTTTATGTAAAGAACATGAACTCCCTCTGCGTCCATTTGGTTTACCATCTTTGCCACATTATTACCATTTTACAGACTCACCATCTGTCCTACGATCAAGCTAAGTCATTTAATGTTCCACATGACAATACCCTTTTTAAAGTAGAAGGGAAACAATAAAGAGCACATGCACAAAAAGCATTACAGCCACACAGTTACCACTGACATTACATCTAGATTGCTTAGATTACTCGTGTTCTATGATTATGGGACTAATATTTGCCAGACTGTGTTATCTTATTTACAACATCTTGACCTGATATTTTTAAATAAAAGCTTGGTTCAATTGAATTGTTGATTTGGAGTACTAAATTAACAATTCAATTGAACCAACACACCCATATTCAACAATTAAAGCCTCTGAAAACTACAACTGTATCCATAATGAATTATATAATATACTTATAAAGTACCGACACAAGCACATGCAGAAACATACACCATTACAGGCAGCCAAACTGAGAGCTGCCATTTTGGGTAAGGCCGCAGGGCTGGAGTCAGGTCTGGCATTCTGCCCTTTAAAACGTGACAAAGCACAGCTTGGTTCTCCACAGGATCAACAGCTTATGAGTATGTGAGAGCTACGACGGGAGAAGAAAAAAACTCAGAGACAGGCTCTGTGAATTCATCTCCACTCATTTTTAATTATAGTCTGTGCAACGTGTTACCGTGACCTTAATGCAGTGTAGGAAAGGTACATAAAGTGGCTGATAAGGGGCGACTACTACAACTGTACAGTACACTTACAACAAGAGGTAAGATAAAATAAATAAGACATGTGCAACAACCACCATTAATAGTGTTATGAAGATATTTAGTTAACACCTACTCAAGCCTACATGATGTGCCTAATAATTACAACACTGGGGCAAGTTTGTTTGATCACCCTTGTAAGTGCGATGCATTATTTATGTTGGCATGGCAACTTCAGTCACATTCTGGTATATTTGTGTTATTTTTCCACTAAACAAAGTAAAAAACACTGGATTCGATATTGCAGTGATCACTGACCATGGTCTATTAGTGAAAAACCAAAGCAGCAAAAGGCATCACCGCAGGATTAACAAGATTAAAAGTGAACGACAGAGCCAGAGAAGAAAATGTTGGATGATTTTGTTCAGAAATCTTAAAACCAAATGTACTACTTTTCTATGATGTCCTACTGCTCAGGTTCCAACATTTAAGCAGTAATAATCCTCTAAAAGCAAATTTTACTTTCTACACACAATGGGATGGCACAGTTGGAGCCTTCCCTATCTATTCATTTCTTGTATAACGGATTATCTAGATTTCAGGCTAATTATGATATTGCCCCCTCTAGTGTAAATCCCTGGAGATAAGAACATTAATTTAATGCTTTAATGTAAATGTCATCGCTTCCATTCAAGGGAAAACTGACATGATATGGTGAAGCGCTGTGAGTGTGAGAGTGTGTCAGTTTAAGCAGCGGGATTAAGAGTGACACCCCGCAGTAGCAGTGGGTGGCATTCCCCAAACCCCCTCCAGCTGTTTGTTCTACCGTATGGTGTCACACTGACAGCCGCCAACATCTGGTCACTGTCAGAGAAAAACAGGAGGCTGACTGAGCTAGCTGAGAGCTTTCAAATAGAGGTAGTGGGTTCAAGGATTCCTGTGCAGAATCATTTTTACTGTATGTATATAACGTGTTTTATACTTTATACTGAATCTAAGTAGTATTTTGATTTCACTGTCACTTGATTACCTTATACAAAATGTAAAATAATTACTCTATATGTCACCACTCCATTCAAGCTAAATCCTCTAAAATTATTTTCTGAGTAGAACTCTACACTTAGGAACACCAATTGCTTTGATGAAACCAAAATAAAAGGTTGGACAGAAAGCTGATTGGTGACAAACTAATATCTGGCTGCATGACAGTCTGGCCTCAATGCTGCCAAGAGTCTGCCTTTCTGTCCATGACCAAGACCCTAAGCCCTAAAATCTTCAGGAGTGCTACTGAACCTGAGCTTGAACCGAGCTGGTTGGGTAATTCTTGGAATGGATCTGTGATGTTCAGTTGTTGCCACCAGGAGAAGAAAATAAACAAGTGTTATAGCTAAATATAATTAATCACAAAAGCAGGCACAGGCAGAAAGAGGATACCAAAACCAAACTGGACAAATATGTTCAGTGGCAGTCCCTTAGGCACTGAACCTATGCTGCTTGAAGGATGTAATGTATAGTAAAAGAAACCTACACTTGAACTGGCATCATTTTAATTACTCAATGTGTTCTATCTTCTGTACTTTATAATTCAACAAACCTAGTCTAACCGAAAAGGCTTGAAACATGAGAACAGTGTCACAGAGTTGCATCACTGTTGCGTTTTTATGAGATTTTATTAACAAACCAGACGCAGTGGAATGAACTAAGAACATAAGTAGACAAGGAGGAGAAAACAGGGTCAAAAGCAATAAAGAGCTTCCCCTCTGACGGAGACATTAATCCTGGTCAAAAGCTAAAGAGCATGTTACGAGCCATGTTTGCCTTTGTCAGTTGCCGAAGGCAAAGTCCATTTCTTTGATGAATCACACAGAATCATGACTGTTCTGACAGAGTTAGCATCTGACTTCAAGAGGATTTGGCCTTTTCTTATATTTTTCTATATTTATGCTCTGGGTATTATGCTGGTACAAATGCAATGAGTACAACAGTGGTGAGTACAAGCTACAAACATTACCAACAACCAGAGGGCAGGGGCAAAGCATTCACACAGCAGCAGCATGTCCCAGATTAGTTTTAAGATTTGGGTGCAATAAGGGATAAGGTAATTACACAGATAGTCTCTCCTCACAAAGGCCTGCACAATAACATGTTTACTGATCAGTCAAATAAAAGCACGCTGATTGAGGAACTAAAGCATGGGACTGTAAATTCTTCTCTAAGAATTGAATCATCGTATATTTCTACGAATGCATGCTGTAAGTAGATGTGTAAGATTTTAAATGTAGGACTACTCTATTCTTCATTCTCAACAATGCCTGTCGCTTTGTCCTTAACATCACTTCACCTCATTCGCTTAGGTGTAGTTGCTCGGGGGCGAACAACAGGACACCTTTAGTGGGAAGCTCTCAGTTGCGAATGTGTTCCAACGCAGTGAATCGAAGGCAGGTTGGCCTGAAAAAGTTCAGGCAAACTCAACCATCTTTCCCTGAACAATTATCCTTAGAAATATAACTCAAACCTCTGTCAGCCAGTCACTCTCTGGCTTTCTATGCAACCACGAGAACATGACTATTTCCTTCTAATCTCGTAACTTGAGCCTGCAGGGTGAACTTGTGAAAGTGCTGACAGAGGATAAGAGAAGGAGGGGCCCTGGAAAAACTCAAATCTGGGCCATTGCCTCACAGCTCTGACCTTGGAGCATGTCCAGCCTGAGTCTGGATAATGAGCAGAAGAAGAAAGCGAGACACAGAATTTTAATTACAATTACACACACACACACACCTCAAATATCTCTTTTTTTTTACTGGAAAGTATGTGCCAATACAGACGCTATACAACATGGCACCCGTACAAGAAAAGAAAAACACATTGCAATCACATAAATCCACAGTGTAGATCACCCACAAATAATATGTATAATGAGGGAAAGAAGACAAAGACAGGGAAGCAGCAGCCCTCAGCCTGGCAGTTTAACTGATATTGATATACTGACTCCTGCCCTGACCGACTTCCCATAGCTGGCCTGTGACTGACAGAGCAAGATTCATAGTCTGATACATACTTCTCCTTTGGGGTCACAGATCCTAAAATTTCTCTCCATTTATTTTGAAAAATGTAAACACTTCAGTGTTGCATCTTGAACCAACTGACATTATAAAAACAAAAACCTTTCAGGCTAGAGTAAGTCAAGAGTTCATTATAACTATACTATTGAAGTTTTCATGCATATAAGTACACAGATAACATCTCTGGAACTGCATCTTGACGTATGAACTAGCCAAGAGCCCTATGAACTGCTCAGGTTTATAAACTATAAAATATCTGAGTTATAGAACATCAGGGCATATATCATTTCATTATGTGAATGCTGCCACCCAAAGCTGTGCTTATATGTCTGAAATTATTAAAACATCTGTACAACTTTAAGACAACCAATTCCTTAAACTCTTACCAAACAAGGCAATAAGTGTAAATGGGGGTTTTGTATATTTATCAGACCATACTGTCAATGATTCAGACACACATCCACATTCTCAATACAGTGATACAATGTTGTCTCCATATTGCGCTATGGCTCCAATAAGCTTGTATCTTTCAACAGCATATGGTGTGATAAAGTCGTCTGAGTGATAAGCAGACAGCCCGGATGATGCAGGTATTTTGCTCTCAGTGCAAAGGGATTCTGGTGAAACATCTGATATCTGTCAGACTGAAAAGTAGCAGCAGCTATTGGCAAAGCGGACAAGTAAGGGGGGTTTATGTGGTGGAGTAATCAGTGGACAATCTCACCTCCTTGAAGTAAAATTCAATAGACTAGACAACAGTCATAATATGTCATTTGGGGCTACCTTTCATTTCAAATGTTATTATAGCAGCATCATTAGTCCTGTCGGAAACATGGAATGGAGCCCCGAATCCCGGCAGCATTATGGTGTTGACAAACAAACAAATCTTATAGTTAGGTAAACTATATTTTCTGTTTTTGTAATACAAAAATTCCAGTTGCTGTACATGTAGTTACAGATCTTGAAATATGTTTTATATACTTATATACTAATGTTCTTAGGAGTTACAATCACATGGATAAACAGGTGAATACTAATATCAGTCCAATCAGTGCAATGTCTAACTACCAACTTTC